TGTTGCTCTACCGTACTAGCCGAGGTAGCAACAGTTGCATGTTGTTGCAAGCAGGGACTTTGTTGCAATGTTTGTAGATTCTTTACGATACTCATTGGGTCTCCCCTACAACTGCTTAAATCTTGCAACGCCACTTGATTAGTCTCAAAATATGATTGCTGCCTATCTGTCGATACATTCATAAGCCTTTGTACTTGCTGCTGAACCGGCAAACTCTGTGAATTTATATCGCTATTAGTTGCTGTATTTGCACCAGTGTAAACGGGAAACTTTCTATTGCCGTTCGCCGTTTGCCGATTGCCATTTTCCCAACAAACCTGTTGCTTTTGCGTTTGTGAGAAATCTTGTTGTTGCTGTCTATCGTATGTTTTACTCTCTGTATTGTAAGCTGTCTTGTTACTTTCTGTAGTGCCTAATGCTCGTGTGATCACCGACGAATACGCTACCTGTCCCTGTGACGCTGGTCTGGGGACAGTAACATCCAAAGGTGATGGTGGAGCAACATGTTGAGTGACTCCACTTTTATATGATGCACCATTAGTGCACTGACTATTGTTAGTCTCATGCTGTTGCAATGGTGATGGTGACGATATTGCCATCGGACTATTGTACATTGGATATGCTGGACTTGGTACATGACCCAAGGGACTCGCCTGCGAATGAGTCTGCAGAGGACTTGGTCGTCGTGGAACAACGACATTGCAGTCAGGTCCATTTTGTGTCGAAGTATTGGATGAGTAAGCAGAATCCGTCGATGTAGCAGACTTGGATCTGCCCGGATGATGATATTCCGCATCGCTTGTTGATCCTGTCAAATAATGTCTGTAAGTTGTAGTCTGTTGCTGCTGTTGTTGCTGCTGTTGCTGTTGCTGACTCAAAACATGAAACGTTTGTTGCTGTTGTTGTTGAGGATGTGACTGTAAATTGCTGTTGGATGACGTTCTCTGGCTGTTCGTAAGCTTGCTGTTGGTATTATTGCAAGTATTATTTGCAGTGTAATTTAAGGTCCGGCTTTCCATGATGGAGAAACTAATTGGAGATGATTGACTGTTGTCATGTCCTTGTTGATCATTTCGTCTGTGCTCAATTCCGTGGCTCCCTAAATCTGGATAAATCTTGGTCTGTGCTTTGGTCTGAATATTTTGTTGAGTCGCGGTAGTGGTCGCCGCTTTGTTTGGTAGGGATGCAAAATTGCCATTGCGTGTTCCCTGTTTATCGTGAATGACTTGCGTAGAACCTGATCGAACAGGACCACTAAGAAAAATCGTCGTGGTCGATCTTGAGGATAGTTGCGGTATTCTATATTCTTTGCCGGAAGAATTATTCGGTGTTGAGACAATACACGATTGTTGATGTAGTGATGACTGGACTTTTTCATTTTCAGTGGAGGACTGACCTCCATTACCAGCATCTGAGTAACTGTCAGTCAGGGTGTCAGAACTAAAGGTTGGAACTTGATGAAAAAATGTTTGATTATTACTGACTTGCGACGTGGACTTTATACTAATGGTAGGTGATTGAGATCTCACACTGACTGATTTTTTTGTGTCAGTCGAGCAGCCAGATGCCTTGAAATCTGTGTTGCACACAGATGGAGTGGTTATTTGAGATACATTAATATTGTTTAAGGTCTGTGTCGTGCTAAAATGAGTATTAAATGTATTTTCATAGTTAGTACTATTAGATTTTGTAGAAGGTGGACCTGGAGACGATGGAACAACGCTTTCGTGTGGTAAAATGCCAAATGGGCTAGGAAGTTGCGTATTATTCTGAGACGTCCAGGCTAACGTCGATGTAGGCGATGTTGATGCTCCATGCTGCTCGAAAAATGTTTGATGAGTCGAGCTATAATTCTCTCTCAATGTAGAAATATCAGATTCGGTTGTGGTGTTTTGTTTTGTCGCTGATACTGCTTGTGCTTGAGCAAGTGCTTGTCTGTGTTGAGTAACATAGTGTGCCTGTTTAGTATTATGAAACAAAGGTGAAAAGACTTCATAACTCACAGGAGGTGGAGATAGAAATCCCCCTGGGTTAAAGGGAGATGGTTGACCTGCCAAAGTTGCTGTTGAGTGAGCTGCTTGTAAAAGTAACTGTGGCGTCGTTGTTGATGGCACTGCCTGAGCAGCAGCAGATGTCAAATGATGAGGTACAAAATCACTAGTTGTAGTTGGTGTTTGAAACGTTCCAGTGGAGCTGCTCACAGTTAAACGATTATACGACGTATACCATGGACCAACGGGATCCATTACCCAAGCTTGGCACTATGGTGCCTCACTTGGTATATGTTTAGTAGATTCTTCTGTTTGCCAATGTCCAAAATATACTCTCTCATAACATAATGTTTATCACCATTTTTTATAATTGTTTCTACTTTTTTTGTAACTTATACATAGAAAAACACATTTCAAGTTAATATATACACACAGAGTTCATTCAAAAGTTCATCAGGATTAACAGCACTGCAAGAGTCCTTATTTTATCTGAAAAATAAATTGTATGTTTACTAATTTAACTATTCTATAGTAGATAGGTAATTAACAGTGATGATTAAAAACGAAAATTATAAATACTTTTTAAATTGTCTTGCATTCTTTGCATTCTAATAAATTTTATTTATGCAATATGTTGCTACTCCAAAAAATATTTGATACAGTGAGAACAATAAAATCATCAGAATATAAAACAATGCACGTAGAGGAAACATAACATAACACCATGATCAATATGACAGTACTTTTCAATTGTATTAATTCTGTCAATTAACAAAAAGCGATCATATGACATTTTCAAAACACCGATAAAAGACCCAATCACACAAAGAACAGTAAACGATAAAAAATTCATGGATTGACTTACATTTTACATAAGTTGCAGGACGAAGCACAATAAAAAAAAGTGTGCTGCAGCCGGTTGAACATATGTCTCTGGGATATCGTGGGATCAGGCAAGTAGGTTCAAAACGTCACGACGATAGATGATTGTGAATATTCACAGGATCCGAGTTTATTTCGTCGACAATGATGCACTGTGGCATGCGTGACGATCAGCTACAGTTAGGAGCGATGACAATCGACGGCGACGGCAACGACGACGACGACGGAACGGCGGCAAACAGCCGCCGCATACCCGGCAACACGGCGACGGCGGCGGCGGCGACGACGACGCTATTCTCTCGGAGAACGCGCGACCATACGGTAGGCCGTATGCCGCAAGACGATGCGATGCTCGACAGACTAGTGGACCCGACGTCTTGACGAGTGACACCGGGATAAATATGGCTTCACGAATGAGAGTCTTGGTACGGAAAACGCGCGACACGCGATACACGGGCGGCACCAACGGCAGCGACGGTGGTAGCAACGGCGGCAGCGGCGGCGGCAGCACCACCGGACGATGAATCGTGCTCACATGATCAGAGCGTATGTAGCAACCGCAACGGAAAGCGCGCATTACGAGCACCACTTCGCATACGTCGCAACCACGCTGGTAGTTGGACGTTGACACTTGTGAGAGATCATGTATTGTTTAGCAGCAGGACCAATTAATGCAGCAATATCCGTACTCACCACGCACAATCATGCACAATGTCTGACAATGTCATCTCATACCACTGATCGCTACAGCTGCCTATTACTTACTGCCATTACGGAATATTTAGTCACTGTAGATTGCCGATTTTTTTAATCGATGCATCGAGAATCAATTCTTTGTGTTCTTGAAAAGTCGATCTTCTTATTTCTCGATTCTTTTGGAATCGATCTAATTTTTTAAAGATAATAGGATACATACATTCGGTGTACTATGACGGCTCGGCAAGCTTGATGCTTAAAGCCCGTTCTACAATGGATGCATCCAGAAGCACGACCGCTCACTGAACGCTCAATGAGCTCTTGTATGCATGTAGTATGTATGTACATACATACATACTTGTTTGATATATATTTGTCGATATGTGTTTAGATCTAATGGAATATGCCAATTAGATAAAAAGCTCACTGAGCGCTCAGCGAGAGTATATCCACACAACTTGCATAACTGCATAAACATATGCAAAAAGAAAATTAAAGCTTTAAAGCGGGGAGCACAGGCTTTTGCATAACGCATAAAGCATGTGCATAAGGAATTTCATTGGCCCATTTTCTTATGCATGAGCCAATGGACCAATCAAATTCTTTATGTATATGTATTATGCGTTATGCAAAAGTCTGTGTTGGGGCTTTATCGCACATGAAATGCATAATAGAGCATGAGCATAACGTAAAACTGTTGGACCAATAAAACCCGTGTAATCAGTAAGCGTTTTGGCCAATCACAGTAGAGACCGTAAGACCGGTAGCGAATCCAATGTTACGATTTTCTTAGCCCGGATCCTCATACGGACAACAACGCTTTGACACTGGACGCTGATTGGTGAAAAACGGGTTATGAGGGTAAATTTTACCCTCGCAACTGGTTTTTCACCAATTAGCGTTTGGTGTCAAAGCGCTGTTGCCCGTATGAGGATCCGGGCTTACTGATACGTCTTACGGCCTTAGGGGCTACGCAGAATAAAAGGAACAGAGAACAGAGAATAAGAATTTCAACCTATCAGAAATCATATACTGTGGAATAAACAGTGTGTATTCCATAGTACATAATTTCTGATAGGTTGAAATTCTTAAGCGGGGAGCACAGACTTTTGCATAACGCATAAACCATATACATAAACCATTGACCCGCTTTAAACGGGGAGCACAGACTTTTGCATAACGCATAAAGCATGTGCATAAGGAATTTCATTGGTCCATTTTCTTATGCATGAGTCAATGGACCAATCAAATTCTTTATGTATATGGTTTATGCGTTATGCAAAAGTCTGTGCTCCCCGCTTAACGCCGAATCCGAACGGCGCTGATGATCATAGATCTTTTGATCACCAGGTGGAGCCATTTTTTGGCTCATTAAACGCGAAAAATCGCGTTTGGGCGCACGCATGATATATGTATTTATATCATGGGCGCACGTGGGATTGAACTCGGGTCGTCGGGTCTACAAATCGCGAGCATGGTTAATACTTCCACCATGATCGCGGGTCAATCGCACAGAACGGTGAGCCACTCGACTCCACATATTAAACATTATATTGATACCTTGGATAAAGTGGATAAAAGGTAAGTTTATGTATTTTAAATTTGTACATGTAATAAACAAAAAGAATAATAATTATTTTGAATCGCTTTCTCAGCTCAAATTTTAATAAAATTTTAATAAAAATATACTAATTTAACGCGTTTCCACTCAAACTGAAAGAATCTGGTAGAAAAAGACTACGGTTTGTTTTGTGAAACAAGTTATTAAGTGTTAAGCTAATTTTACAGTGTGCTTTTTGTTTTCTGTTTCTTGCTGTTTGTCTCTGTTCGTCTCTTGCCTTTTTGATCAAGAAGGCAAGAGGCAAACAGCAAGAAACAGGAAACAAAAAGGACATCGTAGAAATAGCCTTTAAGTTTAAGACTTTAGAGGTTAAGAAGATATCTATCATATTAACCGTGTACACTGCTATATATACATATTTTAACATTACTTAATTCTTAAAAATATTCTGTTTTAATTACACAAATTTACTACTTTAAAAATGCAACTTTTAAGTAGCAATTTTATTACTTCAAAAATGCAACTTTTAAGTAGCAACTTTACTACTTTAAAAAACAAAATTGCATTAAAAGCACGAATTCTTTATTTTAAAACACAAATTCACGGCTTTAAGAATACAAAAATAAGAATTTGTTTTTAAACAGAGAATCTGTTTTAGAGCAGAGAATAGCTTGTTAAAATTTGTAACTTTATATTAAAGTTTAAAAATCTACATTTCTTTAAAATAAGCACTTTAAAATTTATAAATATGATTTTGTTATTGCCTAAATTCCTATAAATTATAAAAAATGTCAAATGCTTCATAATATATTATTTAATTTATTAAGTAAACTTTGTTAAGTATAACTTTCGATAAGTACAACTTATTTCACAAGGTAAACTGCCATGTTTTTCTATCAAATTCTTTTGTTTTAAGTAAAAACGCTTTGAATGAGTACATTTTTATTAAAATTTAAGTTGAAAAAGCAATTTTAAATAATTACCGAGATGAGGAAGCATTTCTGAATAATTATTAAAAAATTGGGTATCTAAACGAAATTTTAGAAATATTATAATTTACATTGTTAATGCAGATACACTGGTAAAAAAATCTCGAGGAAAGACATGTACAGCGACGAAGGTGATGATATGAATGAAGATGTAGAAAGTGATTCAGAAGAAAATGAAGAACTCAGCGATACAATGGAGGAAAACGAGGATAAGTTAGACAGCGATACAGAAGCCAGTTTGAAAGAAGGATCTATAAATAATTCAGATAATGTGTCTGATTTGGAAGAACAAGGCTGTGATATGGATATTGATACACATGATCCACTTTACAAACAGATGAATTCTACTATTAAAACAATGTCTGAAACAAATGTTGATACAGAAATAGAGAAAGGTAACTGTGTTAGGAATCAACTAAAGCTATGGGAAAATTTCTTGGAAATGCGGATAAAATTACAGAAATGTGTGGTAATTAGTAATCAAATGCCACAGTATGATGTTCATAAAGAACTTGGATCAGACACAAATTTTGTAAAGAAAGTCAGTGAAACTAAAATGAAACTGGCATTAATCATGGAGAATATGTTGCGACTAAAAGATATTTTATTGAAACAATATCCTGAAACAAAGAATCTATGTATTGATACTAAAAAGATAAAAACTGACAAGAACATAGATACAAATGATCCATTAAATGAAGAAATATCTTCTGATACTGAAGACGAATTAGAAAATGGAGAGCAATCATCCATTGTTAAAGACACAGAAGTGATAGAAGATTTAGTACCTCGAAAACGTTTGAGATATAATGATTATGAGAAAGTTTTACAGAAAGATCATGACTTGTATAAAAAGTACAAAGATTCTGTTATAAAAAAATGGAATGATAAGACATGGATTGCCACAGGCTTGTTAAATAAAAGTTCTAATCAGACTACGTTGAAACAAATTGAATTTGCTATGAACGATATAAGCAAATTACGAAAGAGAACTCAACTGAAGCGTTCTGAATATAATATTGTCGGTAAATGTTTGTCAAATGATGATAATGATGGTAGGAGAATGCAGGAATACGATCCAGAAATTTATGACGATGATGATTTTTATCATCAACTGTTGAGGGATCTGATAGAATATAAATCATTGAATGTGACAGATCCTATACAGCTTAGCAAACAGTGGATCCACTTGCAAAACATGCGTAAGAAAATGAAAAGAAAAATTGATACACGTGCGACGAAGGGTAGGAGGGTACGATATAATATTCACAATAAGTTAGTTAATTTCATGGCACCTATTACAGTGTATGATATATGGACAGATAATGCAAAAAATGAATTGTACAATTCTTTGTTTGGTAAGATAAAATCAACGGAAGAACAAATAAAATAGATTGATCATACGCATAATTATTTAACGAATAATGAGCAACGACTAAAACCTGTTGGTCATTCAGGGTCATGACCTTGATAACATATTTCAAGATCATCAGAGCTGTCTCCTATACTCGACATGTTCACCATATATTATACTAAGTATGTAATAAACTGCACATTGAATTAGCAATAACAGTTTTTGATGCTCTTTACGCATCTTAGATTTATCTTAATAATGTTGAATGACATATTAAAGTCTAAATAGTTCTTATTTATTATATATTATTGCGAAAAATGATACCTCAATCGGGATTAAACAATAAAATATGAGTATGAATCTACTTATATCATGGATAATACATGGATCTTTTTTTTAAGTATTTCCAACTTTATAATTACATCAACGTATTATAAATATTTCTTCTGCAATATCTGAAAATAAAATATCTTTATATGCGTGCGCGCACATTATATAGGTATATATTTATATGAATATTAAAATGCATTTTGTTAGAATTTAATATATTTAATTGCCTCTACATTCCATTTTAGAATTATACAACGCTTTGATAGCCATACATGCTCTATTATAATTTTCAACAGATTCAGTATAGCAATACTCAGTTGTAGGAGTAACCTTTTTTTCAAAATTCGTCATATGTAATTGATTAACATGTATATTTTCGTGTATCTTAGTCTCACATTGTATACCTTTATCAACGATAAAGGTAGTTTTTATACGATCTAATGCTTCTCCTAAAACATTAATATAAATGTTACTTACATGAAAAGCAAATAATAAGTTATAAAATGTATTTTAATATTTACGTTCATTTTCATGAAGTATCAAATCTTCAAAAAAAGTGATGTTTCGTATAAATAAATGAAATGAATCTTCAATATCAGATGATCGGATAACAAAATCAGGATCACAAATCGCAAGATGGCATAAAAATCTGATGCCTTGTCTTAATACTTTGTATTGAATCTTTTTGATATCAAACCAAAAATTATGATCTAATTTTTCTGAATATATTTCTGTCAGATGCTTTTTCATATTCTGATTATATTTCATCTGACATGCATGATCTTTATAATTAATTCTCTTTAAAATATAAACTTTTTTCGTTTTTTTAAATGAATCTTGCCACTCAATATTATTGATTACTTCTAATTTGTTTTCAGAACATTTTTTTAACATATTAATTATAAATCGTAATAATTTCGTATAACAATTACAGGATTCTAAACTTTCACTTTTTAATAAATTATTTTTCTGTAAGATATGCCATATAGATGATATTAATGCATGCGTCATATTTATTGTAGTAAGAAAGTCTGAACAAAAATGTTCCATTTGTGCCATAAGAATTTGTAAGACACAAGCATCTAAAACACAAAGAGAGAAACATTTATTATTAAAAATATTCTTTAAAAAATAAAATATATTATTATACAGAAATGCACAAATTTTCAGAATATTTAGAAATAATATAATATACCTGGTGTAAAATGTAAAACTCCTTTCCATCTTTTTATTGTCATTAACTCTATTAAAATAATGATAATTAATGTTAAGGAAAATAAACATTTTGTTAAACATATTCAACATACTTACGCGAACTTGTACAAAGTTTTGACACAAATATATCGTATTTACTAAAAACCATTATAAAGTTTGCTAATGAAACATAACAAAGTGATAATGGTCTTGAGAATACAAGTTCTTTAAATATAAGACAAATATATTCTAATCTGGAAAAAAAATTACATTTACATAAAATCTATAAATATTAAAGTAACACTGTTCGACTAAAAAAGAAAAGTTACCAAAAGGAGACTAGTCACATTTTGTAGTTATTAGGATCCTGAATATGAATATGGCTTTCAAATTGTTCCATCACATCAGAATTTTAAGAAATTTACATTTACAGTTGTAAAAAAAGCTATATATATATTATTATTATTATATTATGTGAGAGAACAATATTCAACATGTGCTAGAGAAGTTTATTCAAAATTAAGCATATTGCTAGGACTCTCAATTCTCAAAAGGTTTCTTTAAGAGTATCGGTTATATCTAATAAAATAATCATAATTATATAAATATAGAGTTTAGTAAGATAAAAAGAATGTGTTATTGACAATTTAACAAGTAGCTTTCGTTTATATTTAGTTAAAAAGTTAATTTTTTGATAATTATTCAGAGTATAATGGATATCGCGCCTTGACAACATGTGTATGCCAAGGTCAAGGTCAGGACTCTGAGTGATCTCTAAAAGGTTTTAGATAGAGATCACTATTCGTTCAAACGTTATTAACAAATAATGTTTAAAAAATATCTTATTTCTATTATGTAATACAATATTAAAAACTACCCTTCTTGCTTAGAAGTGCACAACTTTCCATGCGATTTTTCACGCCGAGAGAGATCCACTCCATCTCTTTGTTTAAAGGCACACAGCTTTCCACGCGAAGCAAAGTCCATCCCATTAAGTTAATATAAATATAATTAAAAACTATTTGTGTTAAATCATTGACTTAATTTATAGCTTTTCCAGAATATATTCTATATTTGACTATTACTCAGCTTTATTATATAATTCTATTATATATTATCTTATTAACCCTACCCAACACCAAAAAAATCTTTTGAAGTTTTGAGAAAGTTGGAAGTTCTAACAATAAACTTAATTTTGATTGCAATAAAACTTCTCCAGTACGTCATACATCGTAATTATAATCTAACAAAGTGCGTAAAAATAATTCTTTTTTACAAATTGAATTGCCAATTTTTCAAAATTATGACATGGAGTAATTTGGAAAATGTACGTGTATATTCAGCGCCTAAAAACTATTATGTAAAGAATAACTAATCTTATATATATATATATATATATATATATGTATATATATAAAATAATATTCTATTATAATTACCCTTTATCACAGTAACCCACTTTTTGTTGCACATTACACAGTAGTTTTACAATTGCATTTATAAGACCTGTAAATTGATGAGATCTCCTCTGCAAATAATATTTATCAACCATTGTTAAAAATTATTTTATAAAAATTAATATTTAAAACGATAAAATAGAGTATACTTACAACGTGTTCTATTAAAGTGACACATTCTAGGATGATCTCAAGCATTTCAAATTTATGGCCCTTTTTTCGCCATGTATTATAACGTGTCATTTGTTGCAGATAATGATTGTAACCTTCATCACTGCGTGTAAGCAATTGTGATTTTCCTGCTAAATAATTACTTAAATATAACGATTCGATACTAATGTGCGAAAGTATACCGAGCAATCTTCTAGCCTCGATACCACGTTCTCCTTCATGCCATGCATCTGCTTCACATTCAGATTTAATACATATATTATGATCTTTATAAACTGTAGAGAAATATAAGTCGTTCATATCTCGAATATCATCATTTTTCATAGCTTGAAAAATTGTTTCCAAAACTGTTGTAATATTCAATATTAACTCTCTTGTAGTTAAGACTAGCTAAAACACAAGAAAATATATACATACATATATAAGGTGCTTCACAAAAATGTTTTTTAGAGCCAATACAAGTTATTAACGTCATAAAAATTCATTTATTTAAAGATAAATTTTCTCTCCAATTTTTGTTTTACATTATTAGCTTATTCAAATTATTAACATAGCAAATATTATAGTAGTTAAACACATCTAGTGTTAAACACTGAAGTCATTAATTATTCGTTAAATGTTGGAAAAAAATTAGTCAAGATTATCAATTTACTATGCGTAAAATTTCTTGATTAACTAAATAACAAACCGGAAAACTATTATATTAATATTTTTAACAAGGAAAAACATGTAAAATTATCAGATTCAAGAGACACAGTGTCTCGGCGTTAAGCAAGCGCAGTGATACTACCGTGTTCCTTTACGCGAGACGAGTTGCGGGGTTCGAGATTACTGGAGAAATCCAAAAAAATTGAAAAATAGCATAATACATGCTTTTATTTTTTTTTCTCTATATGTCCTATAAATAGAGATATTGCGACACAAAGTCCGGATCTATAACTTTTCATTCAGAATAAAATACGTTGTTATTGCTATCATAAGGATGCAGACACAATAGAAGGAATAAAGAATTAGGAATAAGGAATAAGAAATTTTAACCTATTAGAAACCGGATATATCGGAATACATAGTTTCTGATAGAATGAAATTATGTTATTCCTATTGCTATTCCCTCGAATTGTATCTAAGACCTAACTCTACATATATTATACAGACACTTTACACTAGTGACATCTTTGTGTACGTGCGTACGCGCGCGCGTATAAACACGCACGCACGCACGCACGCACAAATTAATAAATTATAAATTATTTAAAATATTTTTTATTACGTACCGTAAAGTGGGGCTAAGCGAGCTGCGTGTGAATATTTATTTACGAACTCTGAATTCTTATTATTACTTATTCGGATAGAACTAGAGACCCTAAAAGGGTCTCTAGATAGAACTAGCACTGCGGCATATTGTAGTGTAAGTGTGATACTTTAATTGTCCCCAGTTTTAAAAAATTTGGCAGGTAGGTAAATATCGACTTAACACGGGCATTTAATAAATGTGATTATTCATTTTTCTCATATTGTTTTAAACAACTCACGTAGATAACATTTATACGATAGTTTCTTGTTATCGATCAGGTATTGTTCACAATCTCATTGACATAATTTTAAGCTATTTAAAGTATTTTTCTCATTTTTTTTTTCGAATTACACAGGTTTTTTTTCGAATCATTTAAATTTGAAGGGTAAAGCGAGCCATGGTTCGAAACTAAAAACCGGCAACAGGATCGTCCCGCCTTTTTAAATACTCCTCAGAACGAATGGAAAAAGCGATCCATGAAGCCAAGGCGGGTCGACTAAGGCTGCTTTCCTTTTAAGAGACACAAATCGACACGGTATAACACACTCGAACACAGTTTGCCACACTTAAATGGAACGCGATATGTGCAGTGTGTGTATCGTGTGTACGAACTTTTAATACCTAACCATAAAAGATTTGAATTTTGATCTTAATAGACGCATAAGATTCGATTATTGCAAGGAGTGCGTTCTAATATCACTTAATTGTCTTAATTCATCAAAATCACACTTGAATAGACTCGAAACACACTCTGACTCTCCTCCCGAGCAGAGGCGAAGTGTGTCGATTGAGTTTGAACAAAATTGTAAATGGAAAGCGATCGTCGACTGTGTCTCCTAAAAGGAAAGCAGCCTTGCATTAACAAAGTTGCTGAAAAATATGACGTTCCTAGAGCAACGTTAAGGAATTTTCATTATTGTTTGAGAATTGGAATTTATGAGTTAATTTATAAGTTGTAAAACATGTTCCTGACCTCTGTTTATTGTTAGAAACGAAATTAAGTTCGTAATCATTATAAATTTGTTGTTTCAATCGAACCAGCAACCTAGTTTTGCATTTAAAACAAATGGCTCGCTTAGCCCCACCTTGCGGGGTAAACCGAGCCAGGCTTTTGCCATTAATAATTCAATTCCTATACTTCCGATAAGCGTTGTAAATAGTTAATCTGAAAGTTAACATGTCTGAGATTATATATTCAAAGCATCAGAATTTAATTTAATGTATTTAATCTTTTTTTCACGCGAAAAACCTTAAAAACCGGCTCGCTTAGCCCCACTTTACGGTAACTATCCATACTTCACAATTCATATAGATACATGTTAAATTAGAATTTAAATATTGATTTTTTTATATACCTTATTGATTATTGGTATACATCTTTCAGACTCTATCTCAGTGTTAATTTTCCTTTCAATGGCTGCAATCTCAAGTAAAACGAATTCTGTCGTTAATCTTTTTCCATCTACTGTAGTAACTACTGGTTTTACTAATTCGGGGTTTTCTACAACATGAGAAACATACACAAAGTTATTAATAATTGAATCAAAGGCTAATATTTATAGTTAGTTTTATATTCAGAACTGCATTAAGTTTAGTCTTGAAGTGTTATGAACCAATTCACATTAGCGTTCTAAGATATTACTTGAGACGGTTTTGAAATAAGAATCAACTATGAATACCGGCCAAACAAAATGGGCACCTTGAACAATGCTAATATCGACAACATTAATTTTTCATCATATTACTCGATAAAAATATTTAATAAAAAGTATTTTTATTTATAATATTAAAATATTTAACATTTTAAAGTAACATCTTGAAGTTATAAGAATATGCAATCAAAAATAGAGATTTGCATTAAAAAATTTCAAAATGATTTTTAAATGATTCCAACAACGCTATCCAACGACGTGTTTTGCTTTCTTGGGTGCTCCGGGTATCATGTCATCCTTGTTTAATGTTCAATAAACAAGGATGAACATCTCAGATGGAAATCTGAACTTACTCTAAGATCACACTAACATTGCTATCAATGCAATATTTAAAATATTTCCTATATCTTTTGTTTGAAAATTTTTTCAAAAAAACGTATATTTTTTGAAAAACTAGCCTGATACAGTTGCTTTATTATACCTTATATGACTGTATTCTTACAGAACAATTCTATTGGATAAGTGCAAAAGTTTATGCCTGTTCCTAGATGTCACCTGGAGCATTATATATTAGCGCTATGTACTGTTATATAAAAGTATTATAAAATTGTAGAAAATAGACATTTGAATTTCCATTCGAGGGAAAGACAGAAGTATTTTGATTGAATTTACGTCAAGAAAAGTATTTGAAAATGAGCGAAAAAAAATTACATTTACGGTATTATGCTTTATGTTTCGGTAGGGTGTAACAGATGGAAATGTAATAAAAAACATTACAGATGTCTATCAGGATTATGCACCAGCAATTCGAATATTAAAAAAATGGTTTGCGAGATTTAGACATGGTGATTTTGATCTTAATGACCACCCAAGCTCTGGCATATTTTTTCTTTTCCAACCCGAGGTTGTTTTATGATCAAGGCATTTGTATGTTATCAAAATGTTAGAAAAAGATTATAGAAAACAATAGAAATTATATAATTAATAAAAAAATGTTTCATGCGAAATTACTGTTTGTAATGATAAATCGGACATGAATCTTTACATTCATCCCCAACATAAATATTTACCAAAAATTCTAAATGTTTCTTCTTCTTGCAAAATAGGTAAATTTCTTCTTCCAGTTTTCTCTATAACTTTAATATTAACAATGGATTTTTCTGGTAATGGTGCTCCAAACATTAACTCTGAAATTCTTGCAAGAGGAAAATCTGAAAAATATTTGCAACATTATGAATGTCATAATATCATAATGTCTTTTAAATAATTTTCTAGTATACTCACAAATATTACATGTCTTAAGTCGATAATCATTTTTCTTATAAAGATTAGCTTGTGTACATACTTCTTTCATTTTTAGATTCCTATTTGTAATCCTATTAAATACATATTAATATAGATACTTTGAATGTTAAGTTTATAAAAGCATCAAATAACTTAGATCTTTTTTATCTTACCGATTTGTTGGGGTAGCATATTTGCACTTATCAATAGAAGAATTTATGTACAACATTTGTGGTTCCTTTAGTTTAATATTTCCAGCTTCTAACAGTTTATAACGTTTTTGAAGATTTCCTATTTCTAGATTCTGTATATTAATATAAATAATGTGTAATTATCCAGAAGACACTCCTCACCTTCAATTTCAATGAAATTATGCTTATTTTATGCATTTTTGCATGAAACAAAAGAATATACTCACTTGTAATTCTAATTGTGTTTTTAGTTGTTCTTTTTCATTACAAATTTTGTTAATCTCTGCTGTATGACGATTAGCTTGTTCTTCAATTAAACGCATCTTTTCTAATTTCTCATTTTCAACTCGTAATTGAGTTTGTTGTAATTGTTGTCGCAAAAATGCAGTTTCACCATCTTTAGTTATAAAATCATTCAACAATTTTTTGTTTTCAGTTTTTAATTTTTCCAATTCCTTACCATCTATAAATGTGTAAAAAAAATCATAAAGATATCTTATAACTATTCATATTTCTGTAATGATATTACCATGTACAATAAATTTATTGCCCTTTTGGAAAGTTGAATTATGGTCTTTTATATCTATTAACTTATTTTTGAACTGAGAATAATTAATTTCTGTTATGTCCTGATAATTTTGACTTGTACTCTGTACATTTTTCATTAATAAGTGTGAATTAGATTTTTCTATAGCCTGTGATACTTTCGAACATGATGCTTCATTATAGGCAGTTGGTCTCTCAGGAAAATCTGATTTTACTGAATTCAAACCATGTTCGAATAGTTTTAAATTATTTGACAAGTTAACCTCCTTGAAAGTAAAGATTCAGATTATAAATTAATTTCATATCACATTTCAAAATTAAACTTTTATTAATAGCATTACCTGCACACAAACTTGAGATGCAATCAAATCCATTTCCTCAATATCTTCTTCATCAAAATCATCACCCCAAATATCATCATTCTGAGCATTTTTATTTGTAGAAATTTCTGCCTGTGCTTTATGATACTTCAAATTCTTATTAGTAATGTCATATTTTGCTCGTTTTGCAGGCATATCATCCATCATTGACGTCTCAGAACGTTTAAACATTATGATATTCGTGGAAATTGTGGAAATCGTACTAACTTTCGGAAACCGGCTAAAGGCGGGCACGTAGAAAAACTTGAAGGTGCTTTTACATAGGAATGACAAGAGTCCTTTTCTTCTTCTTTTATTATGTAGGATTCAACCACAGACTTCTATGTATATAGAAGTACACAGTCGCAAATATACTGCCATATATGAATACTTACATATATGTATACTGCACACATATAAATATTCAATATGGCGATGAAATGTTGCAAGTTGAAAAGGTACCTTGAAAGGAACAGGAAACAGAGAACAGAGAATAAGGGTCTGTGCACAATGAAGGAACAGATATTAGATATTAAAATATTAATCTATCAGATACCAGTTACATCGGAATACACGATTCTGATAGGTTAATATTTTAATATCTAATATCTGTTCCTCCATTGTGCGCAGACCTAAGAATTTCAACCTATCAGAAATCATGTACTATGGAATACACACTGTTTATTCCACAGTATATGATTTCTGATAGGTTGAAATTCTTAAGGTACAATTTCATGCTGACGCTTGACGCTTATTTTTAGCGTCAAATCAGATCACGTGATCAAAATTGATGCTTAATATTCGTAAATTTGTACCTTTATTCTCTGTTTTCTGTTCCTTTTATTCTGCGTAGCCCTTAGGCCGGAATCAGACTACGCATTGAAAATTGAGATTGAAGATTAAAAATTGAAATTTGACCAATGAGAATAAAAATATTTTTGCTCTTATTATTTTGATTGGCCAAATGTTAATCTTTCAATCTTTAATCTCACTGTTCAATGCGTAGTCTGATTCTGGCCTTTGATTTGCTTGCAAAATTTGTAAACAGATCTAACAGAACGATTCTGGCTGCATTCGGGCAGCGCGCTTTTGTACGTCCTTGTCTCACGTATAATGACGACGAAGATAAAATGAAACAAATAACGCTAATAGCGTCTCCCCGAATCTAGCCTCTGTGATTGGCGATCCGCTAATCCGCGAAACGCGAAATACGCTCCATGGGATTGCACCCTAAGTGAGTGATCGCTGTATAGGTACTCTAGTGTATTCTTTTCTATCATCCAATCAAATTTTAGATTTAAAAAAATACATCAATAGTAGTTCACTCTACTGTTGAGTCTACTGAATGCAGCCAATGGGACAGTTGGCAGTCTAGTGTAATATAAATAGAAGTCTGTGGATGTCGTTAAAATCCTTTGGGCAGAAAAAGAAGGGTGAAAGAGTCCCAGAAGAGTTATGTCGTCTTCAGTCGTTGGTTGGTCGTCGGTCATCGTGTCGCGAGAAAAAAGTGAGACCTCTGTTCACCTATGTTCTCTTTCTGTATTAACTGTGACCTCCGTTGTTTACTTTTGGAAGTTAGAACTAGTAAACAATAACTCTGTAAACTCTGTTCTCCTTGCAGAGAATACTTACGATTGACAAATAGGCTTCTTGAATCTTAAAATTCAAGACCCTGTAATTGTGATTTGCTCATACGAGTCTGTATCAGTCTATATTGCCCAGAGGGAAAAGGAAGAAGACATTTCAGTTTCAGTACGTACATGTGTACATTTCTTAATTTGTAGCTATTGCAAACAGTTTTTAGCAATAGAAAACAAATCAATTAGGATTAAACTTATTTCTTACTTATACTTATGTCTTAGCAATCTCTATGTTTGTCCGTGTAATCTTGGCTGTCCTATTGAATTTTGCATAGTTATTGTGCTTATTAAACATGTTTTTAACTTAAGCTCACTGACACTACTGTAATAGGCAAAAGATCAATTATGTGTCACCTTGCGAGAAACAAATGGATTCACAAACGAAATCTAGTAGATCTTTACCACCATTAGTTGAAGGCAAGGTTCATGGCAGTCTAAAGCTTGTTATCAGTGAGGTCTTCTGGGTCACAACAAATCCTGGTGATGTTACAGTAGTGGCTTCCTGGTGGGGTGAACATGATAACGCGCAATTCAGGTGATTTCTAATATTTCTGTAATACTCTTCTTAAAGTAACTTAGTTTGTAATAAATCAAGTGTAAATAATATCTATATCAAAAACAATATTTGAGTTTATATCTGAAATTATTCAATTGCTTTTTTTTGACTATACATACCAATTTTTTTTGTTCCTCTTAGACCAAGAGATAGTACTACAGAAACAGAAAGAACAAATGAAGATATAACTGAAGTGTATGTTATAAAAACTAACGCAACACTTTTTGTAGATTATATTAAAAATTGTAATGCAATAGAATTGGTAATAGTTGCAGAGGATATTCATGAAGTTATTGGTAGGGGATGTATAGGAGAATTATCTAAGATATTTTCCTGTAAATATTATTCTCAAATTATTCCGATATTGAGTAATAATGGCCATAAAATAGGAAAATTACATGTTTCTTTACAATTAACATATTTGACAAAACATTCCAATATACAAATGGAAACATGTAAACATAATAAAGAAGAAGATAGAGATATTTTATTATTTCCTATTGACAATGTACAATATAATGAGAAAATGCCAATGAAATTTTACAATGATGCTGAGAATACTGAAGAGAAGAAATTTAAAAAAATTGAAAAGGCTAATACGTGTAATATGTATAAATCTGTCCTCAAGACCAAGCAATCAGAGTTCCAAGAATGTAGAAAGAAATCGAATAAAATGGTAACGGACAAGTTAGTTGCTCAAATTGTTGCTAGAGCACAGTGTCTTAGAGAAGCGATATTAAAAGAAACTTACAAAGAAGATTCTTGGAATGGTAGTTCAAACAATGAATTACATTTTAATGCTCCATCAGAAAATAAGGAAAAACTGAACAAGTATATTTTAGAGGTGGAAATGCCTTCTTCAGAGGAAAAGAAAGCCTTGAATATATTGAGTTCAACACCTCCAAATTTAAAAGATCTTATGTCTAAAATAATTACAACCAATAAAGATAATGTAAATACTGAATGGAATCAAAGTTTCTCTGTAAAACTAGACAGTCCTGAAGATGTATTGAATGAAAATATGACTTATACCGAATTGGAAGGTTTGTAAAGTTATAATTGTGGTTTATTTGGTGCTACAAATTTTGTGAATTTTATAAAGAGGTGATTGTTGCTAATCTCTACTTATGATAAATCCACATAAAGAAATACATAAATTTATTTTTGTTCAAGCGATTTGTTCAATGTGCCTTGGAAATAAATTTCTTCCATGTTTAAAAAGACACTGCATGAAAAAAAGTAACTTATTAAGGATTCTCAAAATTAAAAAAAAATAGAACAAATGAGGCCAATGAGAGTACAGCGCGGTACTTGGTATACAAAATTCAACATACAATTTTAATAAAAATAGTCAAATGGTTAACTTTTTGGTCATTGTGCATTAAAGATGTAAAACTCGCAGAGCATATTTAATATACACCACAATTTAAAAATTATCTATTCTCAAGTTTTCTGTCTATGACATCTTTTGTTCACCACTATTATAAATTATATTCTAAACTATAACTTATTTTACCAGGTCATGTTTTAATGTTTTATTTAATTAATGTAGGATTCTTCTAAGCGTTAAAAAATATGTACAAGGTATTGTAAAAAACGTTCGAACACAAATCAACTTAATTTTGCTGTTAATTCATCATATGCAAGAAGAACAAAATCGGCAATTAGTCAACTGTGTCCTTTCTTTGTTAAGATTTATATGTCTTGTTTGATTTATCAAATATTATATTGAAAAATTTGTAGCATTAATAGACTACAGCTAATATTAAAGTTTTTATTGATATAATAGTACATATTAATTATTTGTATTATTTCAGAAACATATCCTCTAGAATATGTTAATAGTATTAAAATTTTTATTGAATCTTTTACATTGACATCCGCAGGATATAGACGTGCGAAATCCACATGCTTGCAATGTATGTAATTTTTTATTTTATATTTTGCAAAGATTCTATAAAAATATGTTAACATATTTTTATCAATATCTTGGTAAAATACACAAATGTGCCAGATGTACTTAATTTTGCTAAATCATAATTTTTTTTCTCAAACACAGATGGTGTACCATTATCACTGACATATTTTATTCAATATGATACAACGTTTGGTTCTACAAAGCAGGCAAATAATAAGTCTAGTAAAGAAACTAAGTTTACAAGGACACTTGCTAAAAAACAAGTGGGTCAAGGTAAAAAGTTATATTTTTGTTGAAAACTTATTAAAATGTGCAAATATTATAGTATATTATATTTTTAATCAAAATATAATAAGTATTTTATAGAAGATAAATATAATTTTTACAGTTGTTAACTTTAACTCTGAGGGTATTTATAATATATCAAGACATAATATAAATAAAAATTTTCCTTTGAGATTTAAAGTTTTTGTCAAACATCATAACCAAAAACTTCCAACTGGATTAGGATTTGGTTTTATAAATATCAGTGACATTATAAATACTACAAACTTAAGTAGTACCCAATGTATAGTTATTGTAAATAAAGGCATCAAAATAGGTGATTTAAAAATTACAATAGAATTAGGTTACGATTTTATTCATTTTGGAAAAGAATTTGTTGGTGAGTATAATATTGAGATATAATTTTGTTAGGTATACTGAATATTTTGTCGAATTTTTAGTAATTAAATTATTTTATCAGATGCTGTAATATCTAAAAAAGAAAATTTTCCTATTATGAACAAGAAAGCCTTGACAAGTCCAAATGGTAATAAATATAAAAATGCAACAGGGACTCATTCCTCTAAATCTAATTGCAAAGTTTCCTCTGTCTCTGCCAAACAAATTAAGTGTTTGACTAGTAGTAACAATAAGGATATAGTTATTACAAAAGATATGACAGAACACCGAGAACAAAGCTTAGATAATAAAAAAATTGATACAAGTAATCCTGAAAATGGTATTAAAGATAAGGTAGGTTTAAGTGATATAAATTAGAGAGCTTATTGAATGAATGCTG